ATAATATTTTAAATTTATGATAAATAATTTGTATTACAACAATTTTTTTATTTTTATGATTTATTTAAAAATATTAATATCTAATTTATAAATAATTATGATAAATAAAAATTAAATTAAAAAAAATTAAAAAAATCCTACATATTCTCATTGAAGAAATATCACTAAAAAAAACTCTCATGTAAAATAAATATTCATATTTAGTATATGAGAATTTATTAAATAATTTAATTAAATAAATAATTTTCATAAAAAGTTAAAGAAACTAGTCAAAACAATATAAATAATCTATGACAATATATAACTTCAATCACTAGTGGAAAAAAGGCTTTTAAAATCAGTTATTTTCAACTTTTAAAATCGGTTAAATAATCGATTTTAAAAGTTAACTTTTAAGATCGGTTATTTTATAGCCGATCTTAAAAGCTTGGGTCTGAAAAAAAAATTAAACCGAAACGGGCCGTTCCAAAACTGGAACGGGCCGTTCCAGGTTGTTCAAAAGGCTTAAAATTATAATTTAGAACAGGCCGTTCTAGAATTGCTTGGAATAAGTTAAAACCAATCCAGAACGGCGCATTCTGCAAGTAGAACGGTCCGTTCTCCTTGTAGAACGAGTCGTTCTCCTTTTACAACGGGTCGTTCTCCTCACAGAACGGGTCATTCTCATTGTAGAATGTGCCTTTCTCCTTGCAGAACAGGCTGTTCCAGATTCGAAATTTACCCAAAGTGAACCTGCAACGAAAATAGAGACACTAAAAGAGCATGAGAAGATGAAAAGAGACACGAGAAGAGCATGAAAAGACGAAAACAAAAATGACAACGAAATTTACCTTTTGGGAGACTTTAGAAAATGAGAGTGTGAGAGGGTAAAAAAAGGAATGAAGGGAAAGATTAAAGAGAATGAGAATGGAGGGAAATATAAAAGGTTTCTGACGATAATTTTAAAATCGGTTATTTAAGAATCGATTTTGTATACTACATAAAAAATCGGTTCTGAAGTAACCGATTTTAAAAGTAGCACTTTTAAAATCGGTTCTTAAATAACCGATTTTAAAAAGTAGCAATTTTAAAATCGGTCATAAAATAACCGATCTTAAAAGTACTTTTAAGATCGGTTATTTTATGACCAATCTTAAAAGTTATGTCTGATACAACTTTTAAGATCGGTTCTTGTGTAACCGATCTTAAAAGTTGTGTCAAACATATCTTTTAAGATCAGTCATAAAATAACTGATCTTAAAAGTGTTCATACTATTTACAAAATTGTCACTGCGTCACTTTTAAGATCGGTTACCTTGTAACCGATCTTAAAACTCTGATTTTAAATCTAATTTTTGCACTAGTGAATGACTTTGGTATCATTTTAATGGAATCATTTTGTCTTTCAAATAAAAACTTCGATCATATAACTATATATTATACAATTATTTTAAAAATTAGTTTTTATGAAAAATAAATAGATATAAAAAATACATTTATTTCAACAACAACAAAACAATAATAATAATAATAATTGTTCCTACCGTAAGTCCGCTGTCATCGTTAGGGTCATCGCATCCGAGGTATTGTCCGCTTTAGCGCTCGTTGGGCCGTCACGGTTTTGTCCTTGAAAAGGCGCCTCGGTGGGTTAAGGAGGAATAGTGTTTATAAACTACCATTAGCCTCGACTCCTAAGCGATGTGGGACTTTTAGGCATACCGGAACAAGCCCC